TATAGCATACGTGAATCACCTCGTAGCAGATCTATGCAGGTGGAGCTGGGGAAGGTGGAGGGTTTCTGAAGCAAGCTGCAACTGCTATGGCAAGCACTAGTCATATATTTGAATGTTGAGCAGCGAGCTCATTGGCTACACATACAGGAGAGAACCAATCAGCTGTGCCATGTGATAATGATGTCATTAGGTCAGACTGAGTTAGACCTATCGGACTGCGCCATCTAGAGTTTCATGCCAGAACACTGTATTTGTACAGTGGCTCCCCAGCGCTGTCCAGTGGCAGAAGCAGTGAATTTAAACTGCCTCCCTCCATAAAATGCATTTTCTCCAAATTTGAATTGCTTGATTATCAAATTTGTGATTTGGAAACACTATTAGCTCTGCACTGCTTCATGTATGAGGACATGTGTCACTTTAGATACTCAATACAGAGTCGGTCCTTGAAACTGAAGACTATGCGATCTGACCTTATACCTTGAGAGAACACCTTGGGGACCTTGAGTTACCTTGAGGAACAGCGAATCTGGTCAAAACAGTTCAGTGGTCAGCAGAAGGTGCATTAGTCAAGAATACTGGAACAGACATTACTGGCTCAGAGTTTGATGCTTGAAGCCTCAGTATGTCACAGACTAACTGTAGTCTGTGTTTTAACACAAGTGTTTTAACAGCTTAAAAAATAATTTTCCCAATGTGATATTTTCATAACTTAATGTGGAAAAAACATTTAGAGTGACCAACAAGGTTTTTTTTTTTCATTTAACGTTTATGCATTTGACAGACACTTTTAATCAAAGCTAAATGTGAAACAGATTTGAAAATATTCACATCACCTGGAAATCAAAATTCTGTTCTTGGCATTAGTGCTATGCTGTACGGTTTGAGCATGAGGACCATTTTTGATTTTGGTGGATATATACCGGTATATAAAGAACTGAATGACAAATTCTGATATATGGATGTTTATTGTACACAAATTTTGTGTCGTCATTTTGAGAAAGGTGAAACACAGACAGAACTATTTCGCTTCATTTTGGGATGTAACCTTTGTGAAAAGTGTTTTAACCCATCAGAGTACTTGTGTGTTACCATAGTGTGGTGAAATGTGAAGTTAAGGCAAAATCCCTGTCAAATTTCCACTCAATCCTCTTAAGGATTAGAACTTACTTAACATGCTCAACGTTGCATGCTTGCACTCATCCACACACATAACTACACAAAAATCAAAACACACACTCACATTCTTTATGCTGTGATTGTATATCGACACAGAATGTGTGTTGTTAGCACTGTCCCAAAACCTAGTGAGCTACCTCATTGCCTACCAACACAGGCAGTTGTCTTTTAAGGCAGCATCCCAACTGAAACAGAACCTCAAAAGTGACTGATTTGGAACCCTGTTGGTAGGCAGCAGCTCCATGTGCCACACAAATATAGAGCTTGATTTGCTGTCAGTTTCCACAGAGTTTACAATTAGCATATAAGGGTGATTCTTAGACTATGGGCACTTTTATGTTCTTTGGTCATATTTATAAAAATACATATAATTTTGGACAAATTCCTCTTTCTTAGTCAAACTAACAATAAAACCACCTTAAAAACTTTTTACTACCTTTCTATTATGATTTTTTCATACTTTTCAACCTCCTTAAAATATTAACAATTTCTCTTGTAATCTAAGTTTGTTCTCTTACAGACCTTAAAACTAGACAAATTATTTAAACTTATGAGACTGTGTTACGTGACTTTTGAACAAGTTTTTTTTATTCAACTTCACAAGGCTAAAAGTGCCCCTAGTTGAAGAAACACCCATAAAGGATATGTTTGGAAATTTTGGAACAGTGTTCATGTCAGAAGTGGGCTTTTGATGCCTTAAAATGCTTCATACATAGACAGAGCTGACTGTTTTTGGACAGAGCATATGATTGCACTGACAAATCCACTAAGCTGTCTACATAATGAGCTGTTAGCATATTAGCTTAGCTGCTGCAGTTCATCTAGAGGCTCATTTGTTTCTGACTGAATGCTTATGATTGCGGCGTCCCCTGAGCTCTGGGACAGGTGTGTGTATGTGTGTGTGTGTGTGTGTTTAACATCACTCCTGTTCACCGCCTGCTGAGGTACCAGGTGCTGTTATTTCATTTCAGTCACTCTGTGGTTTGTCAAATCGGTCATAGATGCCATTTCGTGGAAAACAGGATTTTTCTTAGCTACTGTGTTTACATAAAATACTTCAAAGTTTTGTGCAGCCATACTCATCCTCAACATTCATAGCCAAAAACTCTAGTCCAGCCAGACCATTTGTTAAAACCATGGGCTTATTTAGCCCACATTTACAACACCCATTTAGTGTTTAGCAACTCTATCTTATCTTTGTTTAAGAAAAGTCTGTAAAAAAAATAGGGCCTAATGTACCATGTTAATATGATGATATGTATTGATTTTTACATGTTTTACCTGTATTTTGAATTATGCATTGCATTGTGTTGTGTTTTGGGGTAAAAGGAAATGTCTGTAAACCTAATGTCCTGGCAGAAAATTACCAGTACCATTTCTGTTTTTCTACAGATTTTTTTTTCTTACCATGCTGATAAACTACAATGGCATATTTATTCAATATAGAAGTCTTAAAGGTACAGTAGGTACAGCCTGGTTAATTCTAAGACAACTTTAGCTAAAAAGAGATCCAAGTTCACTTGACCAAGAACAGATAGATTTTTATTTTTCAAAATACCTAAAGAAGTCTTTATAAATTGTATGTATACAGTAGTTAGATGTTTTGCATATTTGAAATGGGGAAAAAATGTGGCTGATAAAACAAAAAATATAAAATGAAATACAAAAGTGCACTTTGGTGAATTACTGTGTATTAGATGTTAGCTTGATTCCAGTGTCTTTAGTCTAGCATTGTCATTTAGTATGTGATGCAATTCTGTTATTACATTAAGTAAAAACAAAACTTATGAGATTTTGTATATCATATATTCTTTTATGTGATATGTGTCATTTGCTTTTTAGACGCATGTAATATATTTTTTGTTGTTGTTTTGAACTTTGCGGTCTTCATGAAGTCTCTGTAGTGAGTGTTGATGGTCAGTGTGAGTCAGTGTGTCAGTCTGTTTGGTAATGCTGTGTTGTTTGACCTCTAGCCGCCCTCTGCTCTGATCTCTGTAGAACTGGCGCTCAACTGTACTCTCACTGGTTGCCAGGACAACTGTGCTGTCACACGCACCGGCGCCATGTGCTACTGCAAGAGCGGCTACGAGATCAGCCAAGACGGAAAGACCTGTAAAGGTCGGTTGCATTTACACACACTTTCATGAGTATAGACTCCTATGAATGCAACAATATAGACTTACAGCTGAGAGAGATAGAGGATTATTTTGATTGTATAATCAATATGAATACTTAAAAAGATGAACAACAGCATAGAATCTAAAACATAGAATTTTAAATCAGGTATCTTGTAAGGAGAAAGTACAGTCAGCTGGTCATTGTCACAAAATATTTTCCTATTAGGCCATTTTTAGTTTTTTTTTAAGATTATGACAGTCTGATTATACATTATTGTGCATATTACAATGGTACTTAACAAATAATTACATAAATGTACAATTATTTTATTGCTTAATATGAGCTAACATTTACTTGATGCTTATGTCATGCCACCCTGGTTTCATTTGTTAACAATGATTAACTAAATTAGTTGACGTGAACTAATGATGAACAATACTTCTACAGCATTTTTCCCTTATTTTCCAGTAAAAAGTTCACATATCCATAAAACAAGTTTTATTGTAGAGACAAAACTGTTAGAAAATAAGACTTTTTTTTAGCCCATTAGCAATTTTTTTCTTGTACTAATTGCATTGTAAATCTAGTATATGGTTAAGTTCTGTCACTACATTGAGTAAAAACATATGAGATTTCCTATATCAAATGCTTTCATTTGCTATATTTCATTTGCTTTTAGACTCCTTTTTTTAACTCTGCAGTCTTCATAAAATCTCTTTTGGGAGTGTTAGCTAAGATATCTAAGACAGATCTCTTTATCTTGATATACTAACATTGTTTTGCTTCTCTGAAAGTAGTTTTTAAGGGTGCTTAAATATTTCATTAGAAAACAAGGCAAAACATTTTATATATATATATATACAAACAGTATATGTTAATCTTTTATTGTGTCTGTGTGGGTTCAGATTTTGATGAGTGTACGGTGTACGGCACCTGCAGTCAGACGTGCACAAACACAGACGGCTCGTACACCTGCTCCTGTGTGGAAGGTTATCTAGTTCAACCAGACAACCGCTCCTGCAAGGCCAAGAACGGTAAGACAAACATAACAGGCCAAGATAAGATAAAATAAAGCTTCTCCATTTCTGTTTCTCTCACATATATGTATCCGCACCAGCCAACACTTTAATTCATTACTATTGGCTGAACTGTTATTATATTTGAGATGAACCAGATGTCTTCCTCTTGCTGTAGTGCCTGTGGATCGTCTCCCTGTCTTGCTGATCGCGAACTCTCAGAACATCCAGATCACGTCTCTGAGTGGCTCCAGCAGCCCATCACTCTACATAAGCACAAAGCAGACCACAGCCATGGACTTCCTGTACGCGCAGGAAACAGTGTGCTGGATTAACGTGGGCGACTCCCCCGCGGGCACGCGACTGAAGTGTGCTAAGATAACAGGCCTCAAGAGCTTCACAGATGAGAGAACCATCAACATCTCCCTCAGCTTACACCGTAAGTCACGCTGCTCTGTTTTCACAATACAAACCACATTCCTCACTCAGGGTTGTTATAATTAAGGAAATTCATGCAAATCTTAGAGATGTTGCCACAATTTAGTCTGTCTCAGTTTGTTCTGTTTCTTCACGTCATTCCAGACAGACTGGATGATGATCAGATCAGATCTCTGTGTGGAGCACTGGCTGTTGTCAGACTCCTTGTGCCAATTAATGGCAAAATGAATTTTTGGAAATGTAAACTGAAATTTCCTACCGACACACTACAACAAAAGATAGAAATAACTGACTTAAAACAATTTTTTAGCTTGTGAAAATACTAGTGTTCTAATAATTGTGGCCACCACTGTATACCATAAACAGTGCATTTTCTAAAACATACCCATCCCATGCTGCATGTGTCATCCTTACTGTTGCATTTAGCCTTAAAGGAATAGCTAAAGATTTCTTTCCCTCCAATGAAAGTCCATTCCACCAAAGCTTCCAAGTGTAAAAAGTTCACAAAGAGATTGTAAAAGTAATCTAAATCCAAATAGCTTTATATAATTTAATTTAGGTTTTTTATTCACAAATAAACATTGATCAATGCACATGCATAAGCTGCATCAAACATGGCTAACAGACATGCTTTCGTTAACTAAGTATGGTTAATCTTCCATTGACCATATTTGATGTGACCTATAAACCACTCAATTCATATAGATTATGTTTACAATGTCTTTATGCACTTTTAAGTAGGGATGCATATTTCGGAACGATATCAGCTTAAAATGGTGATATCGGCTTAAAATGTAAACACCGACAATGGCCCGATATGAATTTTTTTTTACATTTTTAATTATTATAATTTTTTTCAAATGGGTTATGAAAGTGAAATACAAGGAGTTCTAAAATATTTTCTGAATTTTTACAACTCTTTTGCATTAGACCATCTACAAAATTCTTTATCTCACCCTTCCCTTCTTCCCCTCCCTGGTGAGAGGAAGCAGATATTCTACTCGCTATACATAACTGTTAAATCTTCAAATAGAATACCAGACAAATGCAGTGATTGATTTATATTTGTTTTTAGCTTTCAGTGTACTCTCATTGTCGCTTTGGATAAAAGCGTCTGCTAAATGACTAAAAGTAAAAGTAAAAGTAAAGTTTTTGATAAAACTAACCAAAATTAAAAATAATTTGCTTATAATCTCTACAGGAGAGACCTGGTGTTGTTTCCAAACAAAAGGAAATATTTCGGTATCGGTTATCGGCATATCAGATATCAGATAAAATCCAATATCGCGCATCCCTAATTTCAAAGCTTGAAAGTTTTGTCAAATGGACAGGAATGGAGGATTCATTAAAAATATCTTTACTAAAGTTTCGACAAGCAACAAAAGTCTTATGTTTTTGAAATGACATGAAGGTGAATAAATGATGACAGAGTTTTCAAATCATTATTTACCGATTATCTTCCTTTCCAGCATATCTTTCAAATCTCATTCTGTGCAATGACATTTACAATTATATTCATTTGTTTAGCAGATGCTTTTATCCAAAGCAGTTTACAGATAATGAACATTACTAGCATCACATTCGTTTAAGAGACATTTGATAAAATGTCTCTGTTAAGCATGTGACCTTGGTTCCCCCGAGAGGGAGAATGACAGACGATGACGCTATGGGAACACCTTCAGCATGGGCCAGTGCTTGAAGCATGTGTGCAAACATACCAATAAAATTGGCTGACGGTAGTCACATGACAGACTATGTCATAAAAGGGCATCTACATCATGGAACCCCCAGATTATAATTGTCTGAAGGAAGTCGTGCAGACCTGCCTGAAGTACGGCAACATGACGCAGCGTCTTGTTCTGCTTCTCGGGGAACCGAGGTTGGATGTGTAATCGAGACGTTTACCATCAAAGTGGAACATCTACGCTGCGTCTATGATGATGCTATGGGACCGTGAATACCCACTGCTTCATACTGAACAAATGCCTACCCACTGTGTTGTATAAGTTGAACAAATGAGACTGACCGTGATTAAAAAATGCCATACTGTGCACCTAGTGATTAGGAGCTATAGGCCCAAGGCTTGACATCAGCATCTTAACCCCAGATTGCCAACCCTGACCCAGGTTTGAAGTCATCCAGGTGTACCATTACTGTTACGCCCTGGAAAAGGGGGAGCCAACTTTGTTATCCCAACCTATTATCCCACCTCTCAACCTCTGGTACCAGCTCCAAGGGTAAACCTAATGAAAGTGAACGCATATACCTAAAGCCGGGCTCACACAATCAGGAGTTTAAAATCCTAACTGATTATGAAATCTGGTTGCAGCGCACACATAAGGAACCCTCAAATCTTAAACATGCACACACTACAAGATTTGAAAATCGTGGAGCATCACACACTACAAGATATTATTAAGATTATCATGCCAGAGGGAGCGCCTCACGTGATCTCATGCAGCAGATCGTCACTGATATTTCAGTGATGTTTACACATGTTAGCTAGCATGCTAGCAGCTTTCTGCACTCACCCGGTATGTTCAAAACTGAGGCGATTTCACTCCAGTGCTTCTCTTTCTCCTTATGGTTGTGATACGTTTTCGACACATTATACAGACAGTCGTGTTACTACAAAACTACAACCACTAACCAACAGAGCCGTACAGCAGCTGTTTTGCGGTCGCGCATTGGCTGTGAAAGTACTGACGTAATCATATAGCCGTCATCATCCCGATTTAAATCCTAAATATCAAACATGTTTGATATTATTTGGGGCGGCAAGATTCGATCGGTGAATGCCTAACATTACCAGATAATCCGCGCCGAACATCGGGACCGATCGAGGTGCTCGTCAAGATTTTTTCTCTGATTCTCGGGAGGGGGAAATCAGGGCTAAATCAAGCTAAAAATCCTGTAGTGTGAGCCAGGCTTTATGTGGTGGAGGTTACCCTCCAAGACCCTCACAAGGAAAAAGGCCTCAAACGAATGGGGCGCAATATTGACAAACACCCATTCCCATGATCTAAAATTGCCTTGTGAGTCACCAGATGCAACAGTCTCCGTAGCTATATGGGTAGGATACATCCCAGCAGAGGGATCACACCAGCATCTACAAGCATCACCACTAGGTGGATGCCAAAAAAAAGGGAAAGCAGGCACAAGCTGCCTATAATCCCAATTGCTTGAAAGGCGCATCACTACTACCTCTACCTTCCCCAACAGCAAGAATGTGGCCTGAGTGAGGCGGTGGGAGGCAACTAAATGAATATTCTGTTTGGAATCTCTCTGTAAAGAATATCTCCATAACATACCACCCCAGCCTGGAAAATAATACTGCAGGGATGGGAATAAGAGGGAAAACGTGAGTGTTAAATTCGGCTACATCCTCAAGCAGCATAACGGCTGCAAGAGTAATAACAATAACAGAGAGAGCAACACTCAACCTCAATCTGTGAAAGTGACATGAGAGAGAGCCATACTCAACCTCAACCAGTACATATAATCATATCATCAACCAGCATATATAAATATACTGTATATAATGCTGTGAGCAAAATAGGGAGAGAGCACAGCTCAACCTCAACCGAAATATGTAATCATATACCAACCAGCATATAAATCTATATGCAATGCTATGAGAAATTACAGGAGAGCGCATCACTCAACCTCGACCAGCATACATTATATTGTATTGGATATTGACATTTAGCTTATAAATCCATGTAGGCATATTGAACAGGCTACCACTTTTATTATTCTGATGCTATGTAAACTACATTTTCTTTATGTTAAGGTAATAAAACATATGATTCATATTATATAAATAATACTGCACACCTGTTAAATGTGTAAAAATCTACAATATGGTATAATACTGTGTGGCATAGTAAACATAAGCACAGGCTTGACATTTATGACATACAAATGCACGTAACTTCATAAGTAGGCTATTAAATTTGCTTCTGTGAAAATGAATTATTTAAACTACAGTGGTTTTTTTTGTAGTTTTTTTTTTTATTTTCCGCCGACTGCAGCCGTCAAATGTAACCCATTGGCAAGGCAAAGCTGACTGCTATTTGCGAAAATGCGCGCGAGTTAGTTTGATAACTTGTGGTTAAAGCACCACTCAGCGGGTAAAAGCTGCAAATGCATCTTGCAGATGCGGTGGTGGCAGTACCTGAAATGGTAAAAAAGCTCATTCTGGTTGAGTACCATATGTAAAGCTGTGTTAGAATGAGCACAAATAAAAATGGAGAGATGGTCGCACAACCTCGACTAGTACATACAATTGCACCATTAACGAGCATATAGCTTTATGTACAACTTCTGTGAGAATGAGAAATAAAAGGGAGAGAGCACCGTTCAACCTTACCCTATAAAATGATGTCCTTAACCAGAATACATGTCTATATGTAATGCAGTGAGAGTGAGAAATTAAATGAGAGTGAGCATCACTTAACCTCAACCAGTACATAAAATCGAATCATCAACCAGTGTACACATACCTAAATAAATATATGTGCACACTGTGAGAATAATAAAAAAAAAAAAAACTAAGGGCCCTATCATACACCCCGCGCAATGCGGCACCAGGCGCGAAGCAAGTGTTTTTTACTAGTTTCAGCCCAACACAGTTATCATTTTCATGTCCTGCGCCACGTTGTTTAAATAGCAAATGCATTTGCGCCAATGTGTGCGCTCATGGGCATGTTGCTCTGAAAACGAGGTGTGTTTAGGTGCATTGTTGGTGTGTTGCTATTTTGAGGCAACTGAAATAGACTGCGCCATTGACCAACTAAAACCTGGTCTAAAGTCAATGGCACAGTATTTTTTTGTTATTTAAAGAGCACGTTAGTAATATGCGCCTATAGGCGGGTCCACAATGCGCATACACTCTGCTTATTACACACACAGTGACCCGCAGCAGCACACAAACATGCCAAATATTAAAAATTAAAGGATTACAAGGTAAAAGATTATTATTGTGTAGGCTACATAAAT